CCTTTATGAGGGAGTCAGGAGCCAGATTCGCAACGGAATCAGCAATTTTTTTCCTCTTGGGTCAATCATGTCTGCCCTTCCCACGCCCACACAAAACTATTTGAGATGCCGAATAACAACTCAGAAAACAACGGGTTAAATCGTGTGCTTTTCTAGTCTTTTTTTTTTTTTTTACAGTACAAACCACCATCTTTTTGAATAGTCTTGAGACTTGAACTAAGCTCCTGTGAACATCCATGTAAAGTTTTCCCGCTTTTCTCCTATCTTCAGCCTCTGCCGTGAAGACACTCAGGAGGATACAGTACTTTCAAACGAGCCTGAGCAGGCGGGGACACCAAGGAGTCGGGGCCCGTGGCCTTTCCTGCAGGATCTGGGAGGACAGGGCCGGGATTAGCGTGAAACTCATAGGGAAAGGTTAAAAGGGGAGGAACGGGCAGGAAGAAGTACTTCAGGAGCCTGGCCTGTAACCAGGAAAGCGACTTTGTCCGGTGGCGTCTTCCGGAAGCCCGGCGACGAGCAGCTCTAGGGCCAGGCTGCCGTGTCCCAGAACGTGTAAGAGAACGCCAGCGAGACCACCGGGTTCCACCAGGGATCCGGCCCACTCCCCTGCCCGAGGGACTCATCCAGCCTCACACATACCCCGGTTTGCCAAACCCCAATCTGATTCTATGCTTTGGCTTTCCTCTGGCTTGGAATTTAGAGACGGCTCTGTGGTTCCGTCTGTTTTATACTCAGTCTGTTGAGGAATAACTTTCCATCATAAAGGTTCTCAGCCTGTGAAAACTATTTAAATAAACAGACAGTTTGCCGTTTTCTTGGAGTAAATGGAAAAGGAGATAGGTGGCAAAATAGTAGCATGCTTCGCGGGGAGCACAGCAGTGCCATTTGACATTCCACAGTCTTTAACCCCTGCATGGAATTTCACTGTATGATTATAACATAAAGTTTTAACCATTGGCTAACATGGATATTTAGGTTGTCTTCGATTATTTACTACTGTATTACAGAAATAGTGTAGTGAACATCCTTGTACATATATTGATGTGTATGTTATGAATGTCTGCAAGACAGTATTATTACAGCTGGAATTGTTGGCTCAAGTGGCATTTGCATTGTAATTATTGGTAGGAACCATTAAACTGTCCTTCAAGCGGGTTCAGACAATGGTGTATGCAAACAGTGATTTCTCTGCAGTTTTGCCAACAGTGATTATGAGTATTTTCAATGAATGCTTTAGTGATTCATTTTTATTTAACCCTTATATGTTCTATTCAAAACGAATAAAGGCAGTTTCTACCGCACACACTACAGTGGTTTCAGGCACATTGTGGCAATCAATGTGTATCTGTTAAATGAATGATCACTGCATGCAGAAGGAATTCCTAAACACAAAACAAGTGAGGAATTCAAAGAAAAACGAGTATATTTTTGGGAAAAACATCATCTGAAATATTTTTAAAATTAAAAGAAAATAAGCAGAAACAAGGGTACTTCAAAAAGTTTGTGGAAAAATAGAATAAAATGATAACATAAGTCCGTGAACTATTTGAAGTATCCTTGTAGATCTTTAGCTTTGCATGTTGGTATTTCTTAAAATTTATTTCTTAGAACACTTTTAGGTTTACAGGAAATTTGTGAAGATAGTACAGAGCATTCTCATGTACTGCACACCCAATTTTTCCTATATTAAGCAGCAGTTTGAAAGTGCCAGATTTCTGGGTGATGTGTGGTGGTTTCTCCATCAGGATCTGATGGGCATATAATCTAGAAACCTATGAAGTAAAGAAGACAAGCTAGCAAATTCTATTTCTCATAAGAACAATTAGGCACTTTGGAAAAAAAACTGTCACTGCAAACAACTAAAAGAACTGAGCAAAATAAAAAATGTCAGCTTAGGTGGAGGGAATGTTAACTTGGCAGCACTGAAGAACTATTGAGGTAGTGAAAATTTGTGGGTCATATCTGTGGGCATGAAGTCCAAGGAAAATGATCCTAAAATCTGGAAAGCTTTTTCCCTAGTGGTGCTTGTAATTTTAGAGGAGATGGCTGAGAAATTGTGATTCAGAATGAAGAAAAGAGAAACAAAAGGATGGAAAATAGGCAAGAAAAGTGTTTCACTTTTCTATTGCTGTGTAACATCTACACTAAAACTGTAAATAACAACCTTTTTATTGTATGTCATGTTTTTTTGTGATAGGACTTTAGGCAGGGCTTGGGTGAACCATTTATCTGCTTCACTAGTGTATTACTCCTTTTTGTGTTGCTATAACAGAATACCTGGAACTGGGTGATTTATAAAGAAAAATGAAATTTATTGCTTACAGTTTCAGAGGCTGGGAAGTCCAAAGTCCATCTGGTGGTGGTGACAGTGACCCAAGGGTCTCACATTGCAAGATGGTGGAAGCAAACAGAGCAGAAGGAGAGAAAGACAGACTCTCCTCTTCTTTTAAAGCCCTCAGAACCATGCATCTGACCACCATTTTTAATCCATTCTCTACTGCACGGCCCTACAATCCAATCACCTCTTTAAGGCTCCACCTTTCAATTATCATAATAGGATTTCCCACCCTCTTAACAGTCACAGTACAGGCTAAGTTTCTAATACATAAAACTTGGGGGGCACAATTCAAGCGTCAGTGAGTTTTGGGGAACGTAATTCAATCTACTACAACTAGCATTGCTTGAGGTCATTTGGTGGCATTGACAGCATAGTTGATCTGGTCTGAGGGTTCAAGAAAGCTTCACTTATACACCCGGTGCATTGGCAAGAATGGCTGAAGGGCTTGGCTCAAATGTGCCAGTTGTCACTCCATGTATTCACAGGGCCTCCCCCTATGGTCTTTTCAGCAGGATATTTAGAATTCTTCCATGGGGTCTCAGCACTCCAAGAGAGCATGGCAGAAGCTGTCAGTTTTCTGAAAAGCTGGCCTGGCACTAGGTGTAGCATCATTTCTACTGTGCCCTCTTGGTAAAAGTAGTCACAGACCAGCTCAGATTCAAGCTCAAAGGAAGTATCAAAGAATTTCAAGCCATCCTTAATCCACCACATAAACACTATAGTTAAAAGTTACATCATATTTTGTAATTGGGCTTTTAGGAAGGGGGAGAAAATAAGTTGGGGCAAAAATAATATTTGGCTTTATTCATTAACATATTTGCTTTAATTTATTAAACTAAATTTAACTAATGTATTTGCTTTCATGTA